ATTAGTCAAAGAGCCAATTGTGGGTTTATAAGAGATTTTAGTTTGGTCCACAATTTCTTGCAAATGGTAGTAGAGACACTCACCTTTCCAGTTGCGCGAGCAAGTGGTGTCGGTGGTGACGCCGGGCTTGTAGTGTTCGTTTAGGACTAGTCTTTGTGCAAAGCCAAAGGGTGACATTGGGATTGCACTATTGCAGTGTTCAACCAGGACTAGACCTATTGCAGAGCCCGCCTACGTGGGCGTTTGGACTGCAGAAGTGTGGTGGTGTGTTCGGGTCAATTTAGTATCAAATTGAATGAATGGGAGTCAATTGTGAATTTATAAGAGGTTATGGCTGTTTCACGCTAACAACTAGATTTTAGGGGTGGTGAGTTCTCCTACGTCTTCTCTTACAGAGGTAAACCTAGCGTTGATTAACTCAATCGAAAAGTTACTCTCTTTTTCCTGTTTTCATCACAAAAATGAGTTGACATAACTAGTTATATTTGTTTTGCCAAACCCTTGCACCCTATTTCGTTAGTTAAACTAGGTCCGAACATCCTAGATGTATGTGCCTACTATGATCCACTTGTGATCCTAGTGGATCTCACTCTTCCGCATGCAACTTTGGCTTCTGAGGTGTTTAACAATTATAATATAACCCACAACCCTCACCAAAATTTCAAAATATTGGTGTAGAGGCAGGGACCTCACCAAAATTTCAAAATATTGGTGTAGAGGCAGGGACCTTTTCCCCATGAGGCATGGCTTTGGAGCTTTGAATGAAAGAAGTAAGAGAGAGATTATAACTAAAAAAAAGTAGAAAGAAATTATCACATGTATATCAGGTGACTTGAATAGTGGCGAATGGATGGTGATTTGTGAAACATTCAAGGGTAATCTTTTCAAGTTTAGTAGATGGGTGTTGTTAACAAAATGGCGAAAGATCATGCTTTCTGTTTAAATTGACCCATTTAACTTGAAAAAAAACCAAGTAGAGCAGTTTTTTGGTTTTACAAATTACAATTGTATACCCTCTTAGGCTTTCGAGCTTCTATGTTATGTTTGTAACTTATTTGCAGGGGCGGAGCCAGTAAGGGCCCAAAAGGCGCTTGCCCCTTGAATAGCACAAAGTATATGGTAGATGCTGAGATTTTTCCATATTGATCCCGCAACTCTTTCATATTTTGAAATTGATCCCTCAAATCATGGAAATTGCTATTAAGCGCCTCAATTATGAGGTTATTTTGAAATTAACCCCTCAAATGTTCCTATTAGGTTCCTCAATTCTTAACTTATTCTAAAACTAATCACTGCAATCACGAGCAAAAGTAGCAGTTGGAGGGATTACGGATAAAATTTACTGTTGTGAACTATTAACTTTTCCAATTCTTATAATTTTTTTTTCACATTTAATCTCTCCAATTGCTATTTATATTCTTGAGTGGAGAATAAGTCAAAAACTGAGGGATCTAATAGCAATTTCCATAATCTGAGAGACTAATTTCAAACTATGAAAGATTCAAGGGCTAACATACTGATTCAATTATGAAACAATTCCTTAAAAGAGGTCAAATATCTTCTTTTTTCGGAGGTGAGGGTTTAACCTTTGTTGGAATCCTCTTTTTGAAATTCCTGGCTCTGCCACTGCTTATTTGAGTTTCAGTTTGTATCAATAGTAGCATGTCTTGATTTTTGTTTCACTTAGCTACTGTATGATTGATGGTCCTCATTATATAGATTTCCAAACACTTACCTTCTTGTGGGATGCTGCAATGATGAAGTGACACATAAATACAAGGGAAAGACTGTTATGACCGAGGCTGAACGCTATGAATCTCTACGTCATTGCAAGTACTCATCTAGCCTCTTCTCTTCTATGTATTGATATCTTTGAATTATCGCCAATTTATCTAAAATGAGAAAGAAATATTTTTTAGTTTAATCTTGTATGTTGGCAACCATAGTACTATCCAATCACGGTAATGTGTTTTCACTTTTCTCTTACTGTCTTTGACTTGCAAGCTGTTTAGCATGGGTTTGGAGCTATTTAATCTTTCAATATTTGTGTATAGATATTAATTTGCTATAATAGTTTGGTTTGAATATAGAGAAAATTCTTAAACATCTATCATCATCTAAATTTTGTTTGAAGAATCGATGATATGTATTGCAGTATAAGTTTGTCTGTTGTAGTACTTGTTCGTTTTCTAGTTTGGTGCTTGTTACCTAATCTGATATCATGGTAGTGAGCATATTTGACCATATCAAGTTAGTAACCTCGTTCAAACACCTTTCTGGGATTGGTAGTTAACCATCTTGCGCAGAGATAATTAGAAATTACCCAAAGGTAATTTCAGCTGTAGTTGGTCAAAATTTGACTTGTATTGCAATGAACATTGACATTAGCTATGAATATGTAACAAGCACGTCATGCTTAAATTGTTATGAACAGCTGTGTCTAACACTTTTGAAAATGCAAACCATGTTTGAAATCTCACAAATTGTTGTCCATTTCAAGGGTATGAGCGAGATTGAACTGCTTCGTGCCTTCTCTGTCAAAAACTGTAATAATAGTGACCCATTGCTTGGATAATTTGTCTGACATCCGAAGGTTCTTCCATACGGAAGCATAAATTCAACATGTATGGCATATATCTTACAAATTTTTGCAGATAAGTGCGCAAGTATTAGGATGCCTTTGTTTCTAGATTAGGGAAGTTGTCCAACTCCTTGGGTGCAGAACATGACGGTCGTTTCTATGTGCACAGGTCTAATAATTTTTGCAGTTAGCACTTGATTTTTTGCAGCAATTAAGGGGAATTTACTCTTATTTTTATAGGATTTTAAGTTATCTATCAATCCAATCTCATTGTCATTACTCTGTAGCTCTGGCTTTTCCATGTTTTCTGAAATTATGAAGTTATATACAACGGCTATGTTGAAATTTGATATTAATCTGCAGGAAGCAGTTTTTCTTTAGTGAGCATTTGATAATCTGCAGTGTTGTGACAAAGTAAACTCTTTTAACCAGGTGGGTTGATGAGGTCATTCCAGATGCTCCCTGGGTGTGCACAAAAGAGTTCCTTGATAAGCACAACATTGACTATGTAGCCCATGATGCTCTCCCGTAAGGTCATCAACCCAGTTGCATTTGTATTATTGCTGCTGCAAACTATTATTTTTAAGCATTTAGATTTTATTTATCTTGACAAGGTGATGTACAAGAAAGGGTATTAGGGAACTTTTTCTTAATCGATCACTGAATTAAAGCATATAACAAAAACAAAAGAATTTGAGAGATTATTCTTTTTTAAGTTCCTAAAAATTTGCATGTGAAATAGTAAAAATAAAGGATGAAAACTGCCATTCTCTCTCTCTCCCCCCCTCGCGCGCGCGTGTAAATGGGTAGACATAACAAGCACAGGAAACTATTTTTTTAATTGTTATATTGTTTATTTTTGGGGACACATTCAGCGAATTCTCTTACCTTCTTCTGATTCTCTAATTAGAGGGAAAACTTTTTTTTACATATATATGCAGATATGCAGATGCAAGCGGAGCTGGTAATGATGTATATGAATTCGTATGTTCTTCATAACATTTATATATTCTGTGGTGTCAACTAACCATGTTTCTTGTTCGTTAGCTCTTAACTATGAGTGTTATTGCAGGTCAAAGCCATTGGTAAATTTAAGGAAACAAAGCGCACAGATGGAATCTTAACTATGAGTGTTATTGCAGGTCAAAGCCATTGGTAAATTTAAGGAAACAAAGCGCACAGATGGAATTTCTACATCTGATATTATAATGAGTCAAAGCCATTGGTAAATTTAAGGAAACAAAGCGCACAGATGGAATTTCTACATCTGATATTATAATGAGGATAGTCAAAGATTACAATGATTACGTCATGCGGAACTTGGCCCGTGGTTACACTAGGAAGGATCTTGGTGTCAGCTATGTAAAGGCACGTGTACTTAATATATCTATATTCTTATGCTATCAGATTTAGAAGAGAAAAGTAGTGGTGGACGAGATACTCTATGTTAACATGGGAGTCGCTCATCTTTTTAGAGGGATTACCTAATTGTATGAATTTTTATCAGGAAAAGCGGTTGAGAGTGAACATGGGCTTAAAGAAACTCCGCGAGAAAGTTAAGGAGCACCAGGAGAAAGTTGGGGAGAAGGTACTCTTCCTTAACAGTAGAAGTTATTTTCTGAGGAAAAGGTAGAGTGCATTAGCTTACATAAATAGGAAAGTTTGAATTTCAAAAATATTAAAATATTAGTCATGAATTGATGGGTTAGGTGCTCTATGATTTGATTTGCTCCCGGAACAAAGGCTGCTTACTGAGGAGAGAGAGGATGTACGGTCATTATGTGACCATGTCTATGATCCCAGCTTAGGGTTCTTCTCTGATGTAGGACTGGACCCTGTAAAAGGTGGATTGCAATTGTGCAGGATTCAGTCACTCTTCAAGCTTGGCCCAAAACCCATTCCATTTCCATAGAACTTACGAGTTCAGGCCTCATGGTCCCTGTAAAAGTGTGTTGCAGTTGTGCAGGATTCAGTCTAAATTTCACTCTTCAAGCTTGGTCCAAAACCCGTTCCATTTACCATAGAACTTAAGAGTTCAGGCCTCGCTCCCTCATTATCTCTGTCTGTGCGCGCACGCGTGTGTTGGGCTTTGGGGGTGGGGGTGGTGTTGGGGCATATTTCCTATTTAAAATAGGATAACTTGAAGTATTATGTCATTCTTGAAGTATGTGATGTGTGTTTTCTTATATATGATAACTTGAAGTTAGATGTGATTCTTATGGATGTAGTTTTTCTTATATGATATACCAAAATACACGGTATAAAGAGTCTGAACCTACCTTTCAGTATTCTTCAAGGTCTCCTCCATGATTTTTTAGCATGAATTATATGACCGATAAAGAAAACTTTCCAACCCATCTGAAGACTTCGACCTTCTCTTTATTGTACTTGTCTCGTTGGGGCTTCATCTTTGCCTTCTAGTGAGTTCACTCAGGGTTGACTATCGGAGTTTTTACTTCCTGACGGACTACTCGAATAAAAAAGTCCTGATCGTACTTTGTTGAAGGTTTTTGGAGGTCTATGGTTTTCTTTGTGGTATATTTAACCCATCATTGAGATGATTTTATATCAAACATTTTGCATATTTCCCTAATCTTTTTCACTTCTGTAGTTGCACACCGTCGCTAGAACGGCGGGCATGCTTCATGATGAGTGGGTTGAGAATGCAGACCGTTGGGTTGCTGGTTTTCTTGAAAAGTTCGAGGAAGGATGCCATTCAATGGTGAGTTATTTTCTTGGTGGTTTCATAAACTTGTTATTTCTTCTCTGCTGTAATAGATTTGACATTGGATCTTTTTTTTTTCTTTTTTTCTTTTTTTTTCAGGGCACAGCTATCAAAGAACGAATCCAAGAACGCTTAATGAGAAGTCAATCAAAAGAATTCAGCCTGTTGCAATATGATGATGAAGAATAATCAAAATTGATAGTTTCTTCTAGATGTAAATTATAGTGTATGGCAAGGTGAGTATTACTACTTCTTTATTGGAAAAAGAAAATGGAAAACAAAAGGGGGAGGAAAATGATAATCTGAAGATTTCCCGCTCACGCTTTTTGAAGCAGTAAACCTATAAGTTTGTTTGTCCTAATTTAAGATTTGTTGGATTTAGAATTTGATTTGTTCATGCTATTGCAAATCACTAAATTAGTGGAGTTTGGTATGTATATTGCTTTCTACATCCTGTCCATTTTTCTTTTCTCTGTAAGGCTTTTCTATCTGAGTTTGATTCTTAGTGCACGGCATTAATTGGCTATTGGGAAGAAAATTATCTGCTCTTCAATGTTCTGAGAATCGCACTCTTGACCTTGAGATTGTAGTTCATTGCTGGTATTTGTAGGTAATGGAAAACAAAACAAAAATCAGTTGATGAGATGAGATCTTACACAAGTTACTAGAGCTTTAATTTCGCATAGAATTTAACCTGAAAAATTAGTGAGTTAATACAACAGTGAAAAGTGACAAATAGATGAGGCTACATACTATGTGTTGATGCTCGTAAACAAACGGTCGATGGGGGTTTCCCGCAGTCGGATGTAGTTTTGATCCTGGCGACGGTGGGGAAGAAAGAGAGGATGAATGTTGGGGTCAACTCCTCCTTCGACTTTATGCTCGATCCTGAGCGCGCGGGGTGTACTGATGACCTGTACTTGCACATTTAAGAAACGCTGGAGTACGGGGCTAGTTTCCCTCGTGGCACCTCCGATGATCAAGTCAGTTGGCAAGTTTGAGGGAGGTTTTTTGAGAGGTCCCTAGGCCATTGAGGTCCTTGCAGCGCGTTTCTCTTTTTGGGTTGGCGGATTATTAAGAAGTGGAAATCAGGTTCGAGTGTAAGAATATGCAGAGCTCTTTTTCCTCTTACCTTCCTTACCTCCTTTTATAGCCCCCACGCCTTTGGGAATTTGACCCTCGGCTTTTGTTAACTACACACATGAGGCGGTTTGAAAGGTGAACAGGCAGAATACTGAGTCATCTTTCTACCTCCAGGTTTCAGTAGGCGACTGGAAGGGAAGTTATTCAGTGTCAGGGGAGAAATATCTTCTCAGTGTCCTGGACCTGATAGATGAGGCGTGACAGTGGATAGACCAGCTACTTGGTCGTCCTTCCTTCTCCAGATGGCAGCTGGTAAGTGGAGGGGAAGTTATTTGAGGTTAGGAGAGCATCATGGCGATCTCTGGGATGCGACTTGTGAGTAGAATAAGCGGCTTGTGTAGGGGATCCTTGTCAGAGCGTAGATCTTGATGGGATTAGTCAATGCTGTAGTGATATTTGAAGTGAACTTGGTCGGATCTTATCCCTTTAGTCGAGACGGGTTGATTCGTGAGTCATCATTATGATTCGCCGACCGACAACCAAGTGAGTTTTGGGACGAGAGCACCATCGAGACGTCTGCTTGGGGAGTCGTCTTAATTGCGGGGGACCGACTGGTCCCGCGCTTCGAGTTGGTTATGATAACTCTTGGTCGAGAGAGGGCTCATCTGCTTGACTGGTCAATAGACTTGATCTCAGCTGGGTTTTTGAGTTTCTTGAGCTGGTTTGGACCATGGCTTTGTAGACCTATGCAGTCAATCTGTCGACATTTTTATCTTTAGATGGTAAATTACCATAACACTATGTAAAAGCCATAATACCTCAACTGGTTAATTAATTCATAGCTATAATGGACAGCTTGGCATCAAATCAGAGCAATCAACTTTCTTGAGGCATTAATATTTTGCACACTTCTCTTTGAAGGAGGTTGCATCTGGGCACAATGGACACACTTTAATCTATGTATTGCACACTGTCAGAAACAATGACAAATTTTTAGAGCAAAAAATTTGGGATTGATACTTGTGCTATAGTTCAATATTAAAAAAAGTAGAAGAGGTAAAGCGAGGTGATTCTTGTATGGCAGTTATCAGTTCTTGTGACGAACAATTATACTTTAGTTTTTTAGTCTCTTATGTAAGTTAAAAGATAATTTATAGGGTTACTGCAACATTATCTATTGTCTTGACCTTTATAGTGTGATCCTCAACAGATTTAAGCTTCACGCTGTTTGAAGATATGGTTATCTGAGAGTACTTATGAAAGATTATCAGGTTCTGGATTAAAACAGATGTTAGGAAGTTCTGCAATCGTATTATTTGGTAGGTTTCTTATTATCTCATGTAGCAGAAATGGTATGAGATGAAATAGAACTTATAATATAAATTCTAAAAATATGTATATATAACGTATAATATGTTGTAAGTGACCTTGAGTCTGATGCTCGGAAAGTCCACTAGAGTATAAATATCTGAAATGGGATATTTTACTTTTCCTTTGTTTCTCTTGCTACTTCAAAGTGCCTCAATTCACTTTATTTTGGCTGTTTGTATTTTTTGATTATCCCATGCTATTGATAGAGTTTATATTTTTGGCTAAATGGCATTTAAGCATCCCATTGTTTCACGACCTTTATGCTTATATATCCTAAGTTGTAAAAACTAGCACTTTAATGTCCTAAGTTGTAAAAAAAGGTAGCGTTTTGATACCATAAGTTGTAAAAATTTGGCACGTTAGTATCTTTTGTTAGTTGCACATGGGAATATTCCTGCACATGGCTTTTTTGTAATTTTATTGGCTACATATTTACCGCTATACATACCCTCCTCATCTTTTTATTAAAATTTTCATTCATTTCTATGGAGGAGTATTTTTTTCATAATAGGTATTTTAACGGTGTTTACAATATTCTAACCGTGGACAACTTAGGATATTTATGTGCTGCTTTTTACTAACTTAGGATATTTAAGTTTAAAAGTGGTGAAACAATAGGGTATTTAATTGCCACTTAGCCTAGAGTTCCCCAAGGACCCAAAATATGGGACCAATAGAGGGGACAAGTGAGGTGTCTCCCTCCTATTGGATAATGAGTTGGCCATCATTAATGATGGTCAACTCATTATCCAATAAGAGAGGGACACCTCACTTGTCCCCTCTATTGGTCCCATATTTTGGGTCCCTGTAGCAAAGCTCTTTTTATTTTGACAAGGTTTGCTGGTGTGTGCTTGTACCATCATTACTCAACAGTAGTCCTGTAGGTTTCAGTGGCTCCTTTTAGATAGCTTGGTGGATGGTTTTCCTTTATTACCACTGTGATCTATTAACGAGTCATTATCGCTTGTGATGTGATAATTGTATTTGCAATTAACCAGTAATTAGTAGAAACAAACACGAGTTTCGTGCTCAGATTCAGAAACAAAATTTTCAAGATCAAGATACGAGGACATACCTATATGTATTGTTGTCCGAACATCTGTATGTTTGGTTGCTGGACTTACATAAATGTGTTGTCGATATTCACATACGATTAAAGTGGTCTGTGAAATGATTAGCATTAGTTAAAAGGACACGGCATACTTCTTTTCGTGCATGATTATGAAGATAAGTATTGTCTTTCTTGAAGGTATGTAGCTGTTAACCATACATGTGTTTTTTTTAAATAGATAAAACTTATATATTGTGAATTGTGATGCAAAATTTGAAGTTACATGCATGAACATGGTCATTGAGATCATTGCTATTATTAGTTTTCAGTTGGTGTTATAGATTTATAGTTTTATAACGAAAGGGATTGAAGCGACTTCTTTGTCATGGTGCCCAAGTAATAATCGGGTGTGTCATCCTATGCCAAATGCTACAACAAGTAGGGAACAAGATAAGCTTGACCCACCAGAAATATTCTCATCCTCATGATTTATTCTCTCAGCATGCCCTTGGTATCCAAAGAAAGCTCCCCAAGCTCAATAATGGCAGGGAGGTCAGTCTCACTCACATCTTTTCTTTTCTTAGTATGGTGGCATGTCATCCAGTTGCTGTCATTAGTGGGGGTGGCATCAACAGCAGCACACATGAAGTCCTCTGTTGCTGCTGCATCTGTTGATTCTGTTCCCTTGTTCATGCCTCATTTTCTTTTTTTCGATTTCTCCGTTCACTGCATTGTACGTAGTTTTTTTTTTTGTTTTCCATGTTAGATTTCTTATTATCTCTTGATTTTAGCATCGTCATCAAGGTTTTTGGTGTTGGGACCACATCTTTGAAAACATCAGGTGGTTCTAACTGATATGTATTTTTTGTGAAAGTAATCGAAATTATCATGTCCGAGCTTAGTTCTCTATTATTGTGACTGAAGTAGTAAGTGTTTAGCTTGATGTCAATGATATTTACCTTATCGGACACATGCATGCCGCAAGATCTGTCATATAAAATTCTCTTGATATCTGCCTTTACATTTGCCAGGGATAACAATCATGGGAACTGTTACCTCAAGCAGTCTGTTCGTAGAACTGCGTTCACAAAAAATCACTTGCTATCAGGTTTATATTTAGTAGATTTCAATGTGTACGCTTGCATCGCAGCCACTGAAAGTGCTTAGCACTCAAAACACACAACCATCAATTAGAATGCTGAAAAACCACGCGCGCATGCGCGCGCGCACACACACACAGGAACATGGATGTATACACGCTAGTGGGTGTGGAAATGTAAAGAACATTTATGTTCAAGAAGTGGTGACAATCTCCAGAGGCGCTTCAGATCCCTGCGTGGCTTCTGAGAGACGATTCCGGCAGGTGGGGCACGAGCAATGGGACAACAGCCATGTATCTATGCACCCCACATGAAACTTATGCCTGCATGCTGGCAAAGTCCTGATCTCATCACCCTCTGAAAAATCTGCCAGGCAAATAGGGCACGCCCAGCCGGCGGTAAGTCAAGGCGCGATGGCGGCGGAGAGGCCGGCGGCGCAGACGAAGTTAAGGTTGAGTATGGGAGGGCGACGACGTGGCTCGGCGCTGAGTCCTGCATTGAGTCTGACGCGAGGCGACACCAGTCAGCAGCTCGGACAGGGTGCGACGGTGCAGCGGACGATGCATTTGTAGCAATTTGAATTGAAGGCGCGGAGGAGCGCACACGAGGGCGCATATCATTGACAGCGAGATGACGGCGACATGCCGTAGGTCAATGCGACGGGCGAGCATCAGACGATGCGGGCGGAGGCTGGCGTTGCGTTGGCGGTGGTTGGGGAGAGGGAGAGGGTTTGGCAATGGGAATAATATGGTTCTTCCATGAGGGAGGAGTTTAATAGTGCGAGTGGGAGAAGGGTGGAAGCAAAAGGGATATTATTGTGAAGGGGAAATGAAAATGGGCGAGGGAAGAAGCAAAGATATGCTTAATGCGAAGGCCCCCACTCTTAAG